GGAGCAATATCACCTGCTCCCATAGTTTTTATCTCCCAAACAATCCAGACCAACATCCTGAGCTCAAGGCATGGCAATGTCTATAGGACATCACCATTTAGGTGTCCCTAAGAGACCTCAAACTCAGCCCCTCCAACTAAACTCTGGTCCCAGTCTGTGCCCCCAGTGTGGGTTTTCTGTTCCTTGTCACAGAAATGATTCTGTTGCCCAAGCCAGAAATCTAGAAGCCATCTTTTCCTCCTTCTCCTTGTCTCTCTCTCTCACCTCCCCCTCCAAACACATCCAGTCAAGCACCAAGTCCTTTTCATACAGATGGCCAATAGACATATGAAAAGATTCTCAACATGGCTAATTGTTAGAAAAATGCAAATTAAAACCACAATGAGACATCACCTCACACCTGTCAAAATGGCTATCTTTAATAAATCAACAAACAACAAGTATTGGCGAGGATGCAGAAAAAAAGGGAACCCTTGTGCACTATTGGTGGAAATGCAGATTGATGCTGCCACCATGGAAAACAGTATGGAGGTTCCTCAAAAAGTTAAAAATGGGTTGCCTTATGACCCAACAATTCCACTGTAGGGATTTATCCGAAGAAACACTAATTTGAAAGACTATATGCACCCCTATATTTATCGCAGTGTTATTGACAATAGCCAAGATGTGGAAGCAGTCCAAATGCCCATCAACAGATGAGTGGATAAAAAAGCTGTGGTACATATGTAATGGAATATTACTCAGACATAAAAAAATGAAATCTTACCATTTGCAATAGCATGAATGGCCCTAAAAGGTATTATACCCAGTGGAATAAGTCAATTAGAGAAAAACAAATACCATATGATTTCACTTATGTGTGTAATCTCAAGAATAAAATAAATGAGCAAACAAAATTGAAGACACAGAGAGTAGGCCCAGTCCCCCAACAGTGAACTCCCCCTACCAGAGAGGAGGAGCCATTGAGGGACTGGGTGAAAGAGGTGAAGGGATTAAGTACAAATTGGTAATTATAAAATGGTCACAGGATGAAAAGTACAACATAGGGAAAAGAGTCAATAATATTTGAGTAAATATGTATGGTGTCAAGTGGGTGCTGGAATAATCCAAGGGGACACTTTGTAAAGTCTATAATTGTCTAACCACACTTGAAACCAATACAAAATGATATTGAAATTATACTGCAACTGAAAAATAATTTTAAAAAATCATCAAGTTGTCTTTGTTTTCCTCCTGGATAGCTCATGAATTTATTTTTCTCCATCTCCTTTGCCTTTACTCCAGTTCAAGCCAAAATAAGCTCTTGCCTAGATCATCAGAATAACTCGTTCACTGGCCAGCCTCCTTGAATATTTTTCCTACCGATTCACTCTCCACAGTGTGGCCAGTGCGACCTTCAAAGCACAAATCAGTCTGCAGTGTCTTCCCAGTGACATAGAATGAAAAGTTTTGGTAACAACATTAGGCATCATACTTCTTACCCCAGCTCATAAAGCCTCCATGAATCACCTCTGTGTACGTCTATATCCCATCACCAGCAAGCCTACCTCCCTTTTGCATACGGAGTCCGAGATGTACCAAAATTATCCTGTGGCAACAATGTGCCAAGCCTTCTCTCGCCTTTCAGCTTTCACATATTTTTACCCATCGGAAGGACATTAATTTTACTCCCTGTTCTAATACTTAGCCTTCAGGTGTCTGTTTAAACTTCCTTGCTTAAGGAGATCTTTCCTGACTCCTAATCTTGATGGAACCACTTTATTCTTTTCCTTTTGTTTAACTGAAAGCATTTAACATTATGAAATTGACTTTTTCATACCTCTGAGCAATCTTATCCCCCTTTTTGGTGGGGGGCGGGATGATGTGCATATTTAAAGGAGGAGGTTTATAGATTCCTTTTTAATTCACTCTTAATGCAGAAATTATTGGTCTTCTTGTTGATGTTCACTCATAACTCACATTTCTATTACTTCAATTGAGACATGTTTAATGGGAAGGTCCCCTTACATTTTTGGTAGCAACATCAAGCACCATGCCGGTTCCATTTTTAAATGGCTATTTTTCAAAGGAACTTTTCAAACAGTGTTTCACCTGTTAGAGTAATAAGAATACTGAGTAAGGTAGACCGTGGTATAGCTTTTAAAATAATACTCTATCCCTATATTTTGTTTCAATATTTTCACAAGGCAAGAATGCTCACTATCACTATCACTTCTATTCAACATGGTATTGAATATTCTAGCCACAGCTATCAGACAAGAAAAAGAAATAAAAGGCATTCATATTAGAAAGAAAGAAGTAAAACTTTATTTGCAGATGACATAATACTCTAGTATAGAAAACCCTAAAGAGTCCACCAAGAAACTATTAGAACTAATAAATGAATTCAGCAGGATACAGAATTAATATATGAAATCTGTTGTGTTCTATACATAAATAATGAATAATTAGGAGATATTAATAAAACAATTCCACTTACAATTGCATCAGAAACATAAATACTTAGGAATAAATTTAACCAAGAAAGTGAAAAAACTGTTCTCTGAAAACTGTAAGATATTGAAGAAAGAAATTAAAGAAGATACAAATAAATGGAAGAATATACCTTGCTCATGGGTTAGGAGGATTAATATTATTAAAATGTCCTTACTACCTAAAACAATACATAGATTCAATGCAACCCCTATTAAAATACCAATGGTACTCTCAGTATTAAAACATTTAATACTACAATTTATATGGAACCACAAAAGACCCCAAATAGCACAAAGAAATCTGGAGAAAGAACAAAGTGGAAGGTATCACACTCCCTGATGTCAAATTATACTTCAAAACTACAATAATCAAAACATATGGTACTAGAAGGAGACTTGACTTGGGATGGTGAACACACAATACAATCAATATACAGATGACATATCATAGAATTGTGTATCTGAAAACTATGTAATTTTATTAACCAATGTCACCCCAATAAATTCAATTAAAAAAACAGTATGGTATTGGCATAAAAACAAATACAATGTATATAGGTCAATGGTACAAAATAGAGAGCCCAAAATAAATCCTCACTTATATGGTCAATTAATCTATGAAAAAGGAGGCAAGACTATACAATGAAGTAGACAGTCTCTTCAGTAAATGATTACTAGAAAGATACATAGAAAAAATGAACTTGAACCACTTTCTTATGTCATATATAAAAATAACCTCAAAATGGATTAAATAATTAAATGTAATACCTGAAACCTTCAAAATCCTTCTATCTATAGGTTTCAGAATTCCTCTGCTGAATATTTTGACACAGATTAATTATCAAGGTCCCTTTTTACTATATTGTAGCCTTCCCAGATTTCATGAGAAGCACCTGGCCATTTTATCTTGTCAAGCCTTGAAACGGCTGGATTTTCTGCTTAGGGGGTAAAATTGGCCCTTTTTCCCTTTCCCCTTCCTTTTCTGCATGCTCTCCTTAGGGAGATTTTTAACCATTTGCTCTCAAGTGTCCTTGTCTGGGGAAAATAATGGCTTATTTATAAACTGGCTACAAATTGCCCATATTGTTCGGCCTTGTTTTAACTTTCCTGTCTCGGTTTCCCTATTCCACTTGCCCTGGAATTTTCTGAGCTCCTTACTGCCCTGTAACACAACCAATTTGATCCTGAGCTCTTTAGGAGCAGAGATTGTGTGCCTCAGTTGTAATCCCAGCATCCAGCACAAAGTGTTGCAAAAAGTTGGTGTTCAATAAATGTTTAAAGTGGCTTGTTTCAATGAATCCACTCCCTATTCTGTCATGGCAGCCATTTCTCCAGATTCAGGTGAAACGGAAGATCCAGCTCAAAACTCAGTTACCTCTTTTCTTCTTCTTTTTTTTCTTTCTTTCTTTTTTTTTTTTTTTTTCCTCCCCCATTTATTTCAGGAATTTTCTGGGCCTCACCCTTCAGAATTTCAACCATGTCCTGGGCCCTGACATTGGCCTGAGGACCCAAAGAGTTTAAATCCAAACGATGGAAATGAGCTTCACTTGGAGGATTTCCTTGTTATTTTCCATGTAGATTGGATGTGCCTTTATTTGCTTATTCAGTAAACACCTAAATATCAGGAAAAGGACGAGGTGCAGGAAGTCCAAAGAAAAATCCAATGCACTCCCTTTAGAAGCTGTTATGTCTGTATATAAGTCTGTGTCTGTTTGGGTGAGGGAGGGGTATCAGTTGTTTAATAAAACTTTATTTTAAATTTTTTTTAATGACAGTTTGTGCCCAGGGATCCATTTCACTTCACTCCACCAGCTCCCAGTATCCGCTTCTAACTTTAGGTGTGTGGCAGCAATCGCGATGAAAAAGTGCCTGCTAAAACAGGAGGGGGAGAGGGGGTACTATGAACCCAGGATCCGCCGCCTGGAGCCAGCAGAGGTCGCTCGTCTTGCTGCAAACGGCAGAGCCCCGCCATGTGCCCAGCCCTGCGCTAGATTGCGTCATTGAGCCAAGCATGGCTGACCTCACATGTTGGGGAGTTTAACACAGGAAACTGGCACATGAACAGCACTAGGCCTCGGCACCCGGAAGGAACTGGGGAGCCGCTGGTCAGCTAGGACTGAAGCGTGGCCCGTCAGTGCTTCCTGGGACCGGGAACCAACCGGGCCTCCGCTAACACCGAGCCTGGGCGCCCGCCTCCGAGAGCACCCCCTTCGATGCGTCCGGCGACAGCCTCCCCGGCCCTTTCCCAGCTCTAAGGGCTCTGAGCTGGGAAAGGGACCCAAAAACCGAGACAGCAGAGAAAAAACAGGCATGCCCAGAGGCGTCCCGAGGCCCGTCCCCTCCTCCGATTGGCTAGGGTTGTCCTGTCCCTGACTGTGATTGGCTGCTTCCACAAAGATGCGGCTGGACGAATTCCGGCGCCGGGCCCTTGCCCGCCGCTCATTGGCTTCGGCCTTGTGGGCGGGGCCTGAGGGCGGGCGACTGGCCGAAGAGCCGGCGAGAGGCCGAGGAGCCGGCGGCTGCGGGGACCGTCTGCCCGCGGGCGGTAAGTGCTGCGGTCCAGCCGCTTCTGACCTTGCGGACACGCGGCCGTGGGCAGCTCCACTTCCGGCGGTCGCCGCGGGGCGCTAGTCCGGTCTAAGGGGGAAGGTGGGGAGACAGCCGTGCCTCTTCTGAAGCCAGGGGTCCTGCCAGGTCTCCTCACTCTGCCGCTGCCCTGGGGCCCCGCCCCGCGCCCTGGGGTTTCCCACCCCCGCCCCTCTGCTCGAACCCGGAAGACCGCCGCCTCCACGCACCCCTCACCCCACTCAGGTCCCTCCTAGCAAAGCCTTTCCAAGCTCCGCCCCCTCCCTTCCAAGGTCTTCCCCAGACTGACTCCCCGCCCTGCCAAAGGCAATTTCGAAGCAATTAAATGTTTAATAAAGTTCTGTCGAAGTAATTTATGTATAACAAAGAAAACAGTGAAGCAGGCTTCACATCCTAAGAGCAATACCTCTAAATCCTTTTTACAGAGGCCACCGCTTTTAACTTTTTCATGCTTAAATCTTTTTATGGCCCTACTAAATGTAAGTAATATACTTACCCCGCATTTCTTGATTTATCATTTTGCTCTTTCTTTCCCTCACTTCCCTACTCTCTCCAGTTTTCCATTCTATTTTTTTTTTTTATTCTTCTGTTGATCTTGGTAGCTTTCAATCATAGATCTCAACCTGTGTTGTGGGAGCTCTGGGTGCCCCTCTTGTCTTAGATGAGGATGTTGACACTTTTCCCACTTCCAGCCTAGGATCAGCTGGACCTCAACAGTTGCATTTGATTCTTACGTATTAAAAAAATGTCGGAGGCATTGTTCTTAGCCTTGGGGATGTAGGCGTGAACAAAATTGATGATGTCACTATCCTCTTGAAACTTCTAGTGGGCAAGTAAGACAATAACCACATACATGTCCAATGATGTGAAGAACAGGATCATGGAGAAGTCATTTCACGCTGGGAGAACAGCAGGAACCCAAGTGGGGTGGAATGACCAGGAAAGTCTACAGGGGTCTGTCTGTAGGAAAGTGTGGAAGTTTTTCTCTCTGCTTGACTGGACACAGGTGCTGTTTCAAGGATGAAGAACAAGAGCTTCCTGGGTGCTGGGGAACCAGGATAGGCTCTTCAGTGGGTCAGTGATTTCATAAAACAGGTTTCAGGGTACTAGATCCCACAGTTTGGTAGTGTTGGGTGGGGGGGGGGGGAGCTGGAGACAGGGAGGCCATTGAGAAGGCTGGACCACCTGCTCGCCTTTAACGGAGAGTCCTGCAAAATCTACTTACTGCTTCATTACCTCCAGGAAGACTTACTGCCCTACTCGAAACCACAGTGATGTCTCTCTCTTGAACTTTTATCATACCTTCAAGTGTAGAGGTTAGTAATTTGCCCAATATAGAATGGTGGGGCCCAGGGCCAAACATCTATAAAATGAGAACAGTAGAATAACGGTTTCTCCTTAAGGTTGTGAAATAAACTAAGCTAGCCCACGTAAAATGCTCAGGATAGTGTAAGTGCTCAAGGAGTGCTTGCTGTTATGATTAATATATGCTCTCGATTTTCTAACAAATTATAAAAGCAGTTTGGGTTTAGGAACTATTTCCTATGTCTAGCTGGTTTATTGATTGGAGAAAAGTTTATTCAGTCATAACTGCATTTCAGGTCCTGTTTAGGTGCTGAGGATACAGCAGTGACTAAGACCAACATGGCTCTTCCATGTACAGACTCTAGCTACTACCACAGACCTGCAAAGTGAACGAGTAGATATTGCCAACCGTGCCAAGAACACGCCATTGGCTGTGTAGGTTACTTACCCATATGGGGCCCTGGCAAAAATCTCAGATTTCTTGCTGGGGTAGTGACTTCATCATATGGGTTTGATTAACATTAGATGACCTTTGTTTTTATCTGCCAAGGGGTGTTGTTGTATTTCTCCTTCTAACATCACTGAAGGCTGAGGAAAGTGTCAGCATCTCTATGAATGGTGTGGAGAAGGGAGCAGGGATTTACAGGGTGTGGGGCAAGGATTGCTAGTTCTCTTGTACTTTACACTTTAGTGTGCAACACAAGAAACCAGTTGAGCATGTAGGCAATGGGTTTCTGGCATAGCCTCTTTTTGCCCCTTAAAGTATCTAAGTATACATATAAACATACCCCAGAGTGAGACTAGGGATATTTCTGGCCTTATTTTAGGCACTGAAACATCCCATTTTTGTGACCTTATCCAAGTTCAAGAGGAATAATGCTGATTTGGAGAGCATGATTGAGGTGGGTCTCATGACCCCAGAAGAGGGTCAGAGATGACTGAATGAATGAAAAGTGAGAATTCCCCTCATTCGCTTGCTCCAGCATCCCCGGATGGCCCTCTGTGGTGTGAGTAATGTGGCCCGGTCAGAACTTCAGTTGGGAAGGCCAGTGCTTAATAAGCAGGGTCAATAAAGGACCGAGGAAGGATGGAAAGGAGGAACTTGTTTTTCTTCCACACATTAGTTTTCCCATTTATGGATCCCTTTGCTCCTCTGTTACATTTGCCTCTTACCTGTTTTTCTTTTCTTCTTCTCAGCCTTCAGTACCTCCACCTGGTTTTGTTCATGCTCCCAGGAGGGTGTGAAAAGGAGCCATGGATCCGGCAGCGCTGGTGGAAGCCGTCGTGGAAGAACTGGCCTGTCCCATCTGCATGGCCTACCTGAGGGAGCCCGTGAGCATTGACTGTGGCCACAGCTTCTGCCACAGCTGTCTCGCTGGACTCTGGGAGGTCCCAGGGGAATCCCAGAACTGGGGTTACACATGTCCCCTCTGCCGGACTCCTGTCCAACCAGGGAACTTGAGGCCTAATTGGCAGCTGGCGAACGTGGTAGAAAAAGTCTGTCTGCTAGGCCTGCACCCAGGAATGCGGCTGAAGGGTGATGTGTGTGAGCTCCATGGAGAACAGCTAAAGATGTTCTGCAAAGAGGATGGTCTGATCACATGTGAGACCTGCAGCCGGTCCTCTGAGCATGAGGCCCACAGCGTCGTGCCCATGGAGGATGTCGCCTGGGAGTACAAGGTGGGAGGCTGAGGCTAGCTTCTTCAGTCTCTTCCCTGCCCCTATGTCTAAATTAGGAACTTGACCAGTGGCCCCAGAGATAAAATGAGAACTGATTCCTTTGGTCCTCATGCCTACAGAGCCTTGGGACCTGATAGTGAGCCACAGCTCCTTGCATCAATGACCTCCTTTGACTTCCTTCCCTCCCACTTCCATGCCCCATCCCCAACCCCAAAATGGCTTAATGCCTAACCCAAAGATGCTTCCTTACTGAGAATTTGATGGAGACGCAGTCTGGTTTAGCTGGAGCTCTTGGTGCCTTGAGAATGAATCTGGTATGGGGTAGTCAAGGCTTCAGCTATCAGAACCTGCAAACTCCTAGCAATGCCGCAAATAGTCATTTGACATTGTGTGGGTCACTTTAACCCCCTCGTCTTATAGACAAAACTGAGGCTTAGAAATTTGAGATCATGATCATTGGTTTTGGAGCTGGAAGAGACTATGGCTGAGTCATTTAGGTTTGACTTGACGTTAAGTTAGTTAAAAGTTAGTTAAAGGAAGGTCAAAGGATACAACTCAGGTCTTGCTCTTGGACCAGTATTCTTTCTCTTCTTTCAAGCCTTTTTTTGGGGGGAGGGCCAGTGGGGGGACTGCAGGAGGAGTCATCTCTGACACACCTGCTATTCCTTTTTTTTAATCTACCTTCATCGACTTCTAGCTTCTTATACTTTCTTCAGTTGTCCATGTTGACATATCTTTACAGAATCATTATGCCAATGACTGATGGAATACTGGTCTTGATTTTCTTTCTGGAAGTTGAGATTAGAAGGTAAGAGTATAAGACAAATCCCCAGAATTAGCTGTTTTTCTATGTGAGAAGAATTTCTACAAAATTAAAAGTACTTACTTGCTCATTTTGTTTTGAGCGTATTAGAATAGAGAGACAGTATCACATAGGCATGGAGTTACACAGCAGTGTTAAGTCCCAGCCCAACCAGTTACTGGCTGAATAGCTTTGAGTATGTCTCTCTCTCTCTCAGCCTCAGTTTTCTTCTCTGTACAGCGGGGATAATACCAGTCTCAAGGGGTTGAGTACTGAATGAATATTTAGTACTAAGCGTATGTGTGGCGCTTGGTAACTTTTTAACAAAATGGTTAATATCATCATCAGAATACTTGATGCTTTTCAGTAGTAGTCTCTTGCATGAGTGTTCTAGGATAGTGCTCCTTACCTTTAATGAGCATTTGAACCACCCCAAATTCTTGCCAAAATTCAGATTCTAAGCCAGGAGGTCTGGGGTGGGGCTCGAGACTCTGCATTTCTAACAGGCTTCCAGGTGGTGCTGATGCTGTCGGCCCACTTGGACCGCACTTTGAATAGGAAGGTTTTAGGAGACCAGAGGGTAATGTGGAAGATAAGTACAAAGAGGCATGGATAGGAAGTCCAAGGAGGTCTTCTGGCAAGCTTGGAAACAGACGTTTTCAGTCACTCCGCAGAAACTTAGAGACTTATGGGAGTTGAAATTATTCTCAGAACGAGAGCTTCCTTGGATGTCATGAGGGCAGGATTCCATTCCCTCTTTGGCATCCCTTTGCTCCCAGCATTCCTTCTGGCTCATCACCTGAGGGACACTTGGTTCCCCATTACCTAGCAAGCCTCGTTATCAACCCGGCTGAGGTTTTTATCTCTTTCAGTGGAAACTCCACGAGGCTCTGGAACACCTGAGGAAAGAGCAAGAAGAGGCCTGGAAGCTGGAAGTTGGTGAGAGGAAACGAACTGCCACCTGGAAGGCAGGTTGCCGCCTGGGGAAGGAGTTTGGGTGGTTCTGGTGTTGTCCTGGAGCTGGCCCATGGTGACTTCCTCATCTCTCTGAAGCAGAATGTGGGGATTGAAGTCAGAGCCAGGGATCCTCATACCAGCTTCCTCCACAGGTTGTGCAGCCCTAGGCAGGCCATGTACTTCTCATTCCAGTTTCTTGATTGTGATGTAGGCATAACCTCTGGCCTAGTGCCCTCATCTGTCCTCATACACACCTCACATACACTGGAAAATCACCTCTGAAATAAACTTGAGGCCGTAACTACCCAACTATCAGAACGTTAGATCAACAGAAGGTAACACTGAACCAGTCAAAAACAACATATTGAACTGAGATAATACCAGTAAGAAGCAAAAGCATCTACCAGTGTAGTTGTTACACTGCCTTAGAGGCTCAAGTGTAATGCTCTGGTCATTATTTTGAAAATAGCATATACTGTTCTGAAAATAGGAAATCGTCTAGAGCACATAGTACCAAGATAATATCCTGGGCCCTACTGGAGTTGATAAGGATAGGTAATAGGGCCCCAGAAGCATTTGAGAACAGAAGATAAGAAAAATAGTAGCCTTCATCTTGGCCTCTACAATGCCAGGCATACAGTTGGTACCAAAACATTCCAGAGTGTGTGTGTGTGCGCGCACAGTCCCTGGTGACTCTTGCATGAACAATATCTGCTTTTTTCCGATCCTGGCTGTGCAGATACAGGTGGAAACCCGAAAACAGAGTATCGTGTGGGAGTTTGAGAAGTATCGGCAATTACTAAAGCACAAGCCACCGGGTCAGCAGCTGGAGGTAGAGGCAGCCTCAGCTCTCGCCAGCCTGGAGCGGGAGGAGAGGGAGACGAGACAGAAACTGGAGCTGAATCACGATGCACTCATCCAGCAGAGCCGGGTCCTGTGCCGGCTGATCGCAGAGCTGGAAGAGCGGTCTCAGAGGCCTGTCCGCTGGATGCTGCAGGTGAGTGCATCCATAGCCGTCCCCCAGCCCCAGCCCCGCACTTCTCCTGCCCCTGGCTGGTTGGATGACCTGACCCATTATAGGCAGGTAGGTGGGGCGGTGTTCAGGCAGCTCTGGCATCATACCAGTCCTCCTTTGGCCAGAGAGCTGAGAGTCAGCCAGTCCAGTTTAGCCTATCCTCCCCTCCCATAGGCTTCTGCCTTTCACCTCTGTACACCTTCTCTCCAGCCTTGCTCTGCGCCTCCCTTGCCCTTAGAGAAACCCCCTCCCAGCGCTCAGTGTCTGTCTGGTCCCTCCAAGGAACAGCAGATACTCACGCGCTGCACTTTTTTCTCCTTCTAGGGCATTCGGGAGGTCTTAAACAGGTACGTTCCCATCCTTGGAGCCCCCGGCAGACCCAGGGGGGCGAGGGGGGCCTGGCCAGAAGTGGGGAAGGAACAGGGACCCATGCGGTAGAGAACCAGGGGCTGCTCCATAATCCTCTCCCTCTTTCCTTGCATTGGCCAAAGCAGCTTTATTCACCTTTCTTTTTTCTTCTTTGTATTTAATCAGATTCATTTCAAGTGTTACCAATAAGAATCTCAGAAAAGTTATAAAATATGTGGTGTCAGATAGATCTCTCAAGGAGGAAAAAACGCTACAGGCGTGTCCATTAGTCTCTAAGCTCTGAGTGTGGCACACCTGTTCCTCTTCCCGTATCAGGTGAATGTTCTGTCTGTGCCACAAACCTTCCTCTCAGTCGAATAAGCATCACAGCTTTGCTTGTTGATGCTGGGGAATGGCACCTCCCTGCCAACCCCTCTTCCCTGTACTACAGGAGGTCCATGTGGCCGAGCTATGGCTCCTTGACCCAAGGCTTACCCCTCCTTTATTAGGAGCAAGTCTTGGAGCTTCCAGCGGCCAGAACCAGTCTCCCTGGAACTGAAGACAGATTGTCGGGTGCCGGGCCTGAGAGAGATCCTGAAGACGTATGCAGGTAATGAGTGCTGGCAGAGGTTGTGATGGGCAGTGGGAGGGGCCCGCCCAGAAAAATAAAACCATTCAGTGTTCTCTGGATGCCTCAACTAGCCCCACTCACACCCATCACTGAGAAACCCGGGGCTGTATTTATCAGAGAGACCTCGCCCATGGCCCCTCGCTCTGTTCCAGCATTGCCAACCAGGATCTTTTTCCCTAGCTGATGTGCGCCTTGATCCAGACACTGCTTATTCCCGCCTCATCGTGTCTGAAGACAGAAAGTGCGTGCACTATGGAGACACCAACCAGAAACTGCCCGACAATCCTGAGAGATTCTACCGCTATAACATCGTCCTGGGCAGCCAGTGCATCTCCTCAGGCCGGCACTACTGGGAGGTGGAGGTGGGAGACAGGTCTGAATGGGGCCTGGGAGTGTGTAAGGAAGATGTCGACCGGAAGGAGGTGGTCTATTTATCCCCCAACTATGGCTTCTGGGTGATAAGGCTGAGGAAGGGCAATGAGTACCGGGCAGGCACGGATGAATACCCCCTCCTGCCCTTGCCAGTCCCTCCCCGGCGGGTGGGTGTCTTCCTGGATTATGAGGCCCAGGACATCTCCTTCTACAACGTGACCGACAATGGCTCCCACATTTTCACTTTCCCCCACCACCCCTTTTCTGGGCGCCTCCTGCCCTACTTTAGTCCTTGCTACAGTATTGGTGCCAACAACACCGCCCCTCTGGCCATCTGCTCCCTGGACGGAGAGGACTGAGACCCACCGTCCAGCGTGAGGCCTCGGAATTTCACCTGGGCCCCAGGGGTCTTACAGGGCCCCGCCCCTGACAAGGGTTCCCTGAAACTGAGTTGAGCCTAGAATTTGGGATTCCTCTGCCTGGCCCCGTGGTCTGCTGCTCCTCAGCCTGCATCTCTCTCTAAACCACTCATGTGAAGGAGGTGAGGCTTAGGCTGCGTCACATGAGCATTGTCACATCCCTCAGCACGAGCTGGGCACACCACTGTCTCAGACACAGGGAGACTTGTGTCCTGGCCCTGCCCTTCTTTGAGTGACAGGATCAGAAAACTTGTGAGCCCTGTTTTTATTTTCACTTTATGGATGAGAAAACTGAGATGGCCTTAATAGAGCAAGTTATTTCTCGTAGAGCTGTTGAAAGAAGATTGTAGAGATTATAACGTATTTCTCACATTCGAATGAAACAAGATCGGCAAGACTTGCTTCTCAGGTCACGTGTCTGCATGTCATTCATTACATTTGGGTCTGAAACTTCCCACCCGATTGAAAGATTTTTCAGCCTCTGGAAAAATGGGTGGAGTGGCTGTATACTCTCCTACCTCACAGGGTTGTTGTGAGGATCTCAGATCCATCCCATACTTGTGTTCCTTTCTCAGGGACAGAGGAAGGCAAGTTGAGAATATTGCCCATGTTACCTTCCTATCACATTCTCGGCCAGCATCTGACAGCAGGGCCTCTGTCTCAGGGCCTCTCCTCACAGTCCAGAGCCCTTTAGACAGAACGTGGCCCTACCAGGGCAAACTCTGGGCTATTGTAATATACTGTGTATCTGTTGTACGTTTGTCTTGTTTGGATTAGAATTGGGACTGTGACCGCAGGATAGAGACGAGATAATTTAAAATGAAAAACAAAATGCCCAGGAAAAAGACTCACTTGCCCACAAGCTAGTTGAGCTAAAGTTTAGATCTTTTTGTGTCACAAAGGGAGTCTGAATCGTTCTGGTAACTACATAACATTCTCCCTGCCTTTGTCTTCTCTAAATCTGTGGCAGAAGGAGAAATGGGAGGCAGTGTGAGGGAAAGAGTAGGACTAGGCACAGAAAGCCAGTTTGGGAGCAGTATATATAGTGAAGGGGAACTTAAGACTGTGTGTCTGTGCTATTGACACATGAGTGATTGCTGTGTGTGGCAAAAGTAACTCACTGCAGGCCTTAAGAGTGTGATGTGGGAAGGTTGGGTCTAGAAATGAACTGCAAGACTAGCATGAAGAGTTCATGGCTTTGCCTATTGCGAGGGGCTACAACATATACATCACATATCGTCACCATGACTTAAGACACAACTTCTGATGTACTTTAGACGTGAAGGTAGTGATGTTGGGGTAGGAATGAGCAGCAAAGAAGATACTAGGTGGTGTATGGACAGAGGCAAAGTTACTCCTGTAATAAATAATAGCAAAAACTGTCTTTCTACTTTAATTGTTGTTAATAAAAGAAAGAGGTAAAAAAGTCCAAAATGGAGAAATAAACTCATTCTGCCCACCACGCTTCCAAGTCACTTCTTAAGCATCAGCAGAAGGGGAATGGACTAGTAAGCCACCCGACCTGGTCTTGGCAAAGTGCTGAGCTGACCTGAAGTTGAGGGGCTCTGTGTCTTTTTGTGGGGGAGACTCAAAGTGGTCCAGAAGGGGAAGCGGCAGGTAGACAAGTAGCCATGTGGAGGGTAGTGTGCCTGGGGAATTGTTTATAGACTTGAGAAATAGATCTGTAGGAAGTGCTTCCCATTAGATGTCCATAGACACTTAGCAAAAGAGGCTAGGGAAAAGTCAGTATTGTTCTTTTACTGTTTTATTGGGACAATCCTTGGAAGGGTCAGAGAAAAGTTGATCAATTCAATCAAACCTAGAATGAACTAAGGAGTGGGATGGCTTAATTTGTTATGTACTATTTGGGGGCTTTGGGTTTTTGTTTTTGTTTTTTTCATTTATAAGCCGATTTTGGAGCTATGATTGCTTGTTAGAAGAATTACAGGTTAAATGATGTCACGCCGTTTATTTCATATTTTCTGATTGTTAAGACCAGGCAAGAAGATTGGAGTTTTTAAGCATATGAAAACCCCTTTCTTTAGGGTATTTATGTGCACTTATCTTCCAAGAACCCCATGAAGACAAGACCTTATTTGTCTGATTCACCATTGTACCCTCCATCTAGCAGTGTGTGTGTGTGTGTGTGTGTGTGTGTGTGTGTGTGTGTGTGTGTGTGTTGATAAACAAGTGAGGGAACTTTCAATCTTATTCCTAGAATCAAAGCAAAAATAAGCTCCCCTTGCCTCACAGGGGCATGAAAGACCAGATGATATTTAGTTTTAATCTTATTCAAAAACTAATTTGATGAATAATTATAAAAGTGTTCTGGAAGGGGAAGAGGCAGATAGCCATGTGGAGGGTAGAGTGCCTGCATATCCCCTGAAAATGTCTACCCTGGCACCTCCAATTTGATGTGATAATTCACCACAAGGCAGGGTTCAGGCATGAGATTTGCCTATTTTTGTTTTACTGACAGAAACCAAGGGGTGCAGTGCCTGAGCTTTGAAGGGAAAGGCTGCTAAAAGGGTGAAGTGCTTGAGTTCTGCAAAAGGAAGAGACAGAGGGCAAATCGGGTTTACAACTCACAGGAAATTTAGTCTACCTTTTTTCAAGCAGGATTGGTTGTACTGTCTTAAAAGCAAACATTGAGAGTCTGCTGTGAATCACAGGCACCAGTTAAATGAGCACACACTGCTTCATGTGATAGGGTAGGAGTTGTAACTGAATGTATTGGGGAAAGCACAGGATTTTCTGTTGGGGGAATAGCCATTGAAGGGAACCAGTCCACTTTGGAAAGGATATAGTTCAATAAAGAGTTGAGTGCCAACAGTGGATCCCAGTTTTAGGGAATACTAACGTGAATGAAACAAAGCTGTTGGGTAGGCTTCTAAAGGAAATGCTGTGAAGACATTTCTGGTTTGGGTGCAAGCTAGACTGTGCCTTTGTTGCTTTCTATCAAATACAGTCAATTCTTTGGTTTGCTTATGAAGAAAGAATAGTGTGACTTTTCAAAATAGAAATCTTATCAAATATGCTTAACCACCTCATCTTGATTTGTTTTTATATTACGGGGTTGCAAGAGGAGGAGAATTTCTTTTTACTACTCTGGGAGCTCAATGCCTTATCAGATTGTTAAAATATATTTTATTGATTTTTTTTTTAACAGAGAGGAAGGGAGAGGGATAGAGAGTTAGAAACATTGATGAGAGAGAAACATCGATCAGCTGCCTCCTGCACACCCCCTACTGGGGATGTGCCCACAACCGAGGTGCATGCCCTTGACTGGAATCGAACCTGGAAACTTTCAGTCTGCAGGCCGACGCTCTATCCACTGAGCCAAACCGGTTAGGGCCATTATCAGATTTTTAGAGGCTGATTTCTGCTCCACTGGTATTCAGAAACAGAATATATCCTAGTAGACAGACAAGTCCGATGTTAGCAAAAGGTGTGTATATAGCATGTCTTTTTGGAAGAATTATCACATGAATGATAATTATAAGACTGCAGTTCTAATAGTACCTAAAATTATTGAGTTAGAAATCTATTGTGTAGTCGTAGCCAGCTGGTTCAGTTGGTTAGAGCATCATCCAATACACCAAGATTGTAGGTTCCATCCCCAGATAGGATACATACAAGATACAAGAAAAAAACCATGAATGCATAGATAAGTAGAACAACAAAACAATGTTTCTCTCTCCCTCCCTCTGTCTCTAAATTCAAATAATTTTTTTAAAAGAGATCTATTGGGTATATATTTTAAATATGTACAACATGTTAATCTTATGTGCTATCCTTTATTTTAATACCCTCTATAAATTATCATTGGTTCTTCCATCAGTAGAAAGGAGATATAATATTCAGATACAATTGTTATCAACACTATTAGGAAATTATCTTTTATTAAGATTTTCAAATGTATCAGAGTTAAATATATGTACTCCTACATATGAAACTTTTTTTTTAGTTTATACTGATTATTCACTTTAAGACTTTCTGAAAAGGTAAAATATAAAAACAACTACCTGGTGAGCTGGAGAAGAGTAGTGACATTTCAGCTTCATTATTAATATTGCTATTGTTTTCTATTAACCTTTTCATCCCAGAGCACACCTCCTGAGAGGTGTTCAAAAGAAGAAAGACCTTTTATATTTGATTCCTCTCCTTTGTGTCTACAGTTAAGTTACTAGGAAGAAAGTGAAAAATGTCCAAAAGAGAACTCACATTGCCTTGGCCTCTGTTGCTTAAAAATAAAAAGCTTATGATTATGTTAAGCTGGCTCCAACTAGCTTAACAATGAGGATATAGTAAAATGATATAGCAGGATCTTACAGAACTTAATTATAAAGGTATATTCAAGTATCCAAAATAAATTGAAACCAGAGACTCAGTTTCTTCATCCCATCTTATAGATCTGCTGCTTCTGCTATGGAATACATTTCTCTTTCCAAGTTCATGTGTTAGAAAAATGGCCACCATCAGTGATCCCAAATTTACATCTGAGATAAACTGGAATCCATTTTTATTGGAGAAGGACTCTAGACCAGGGGTGAGCACATGGCCCAAGTTGAATGGATTTATCAATGGGCCAGAAGACAGAGTCATATATTAATAGCTGCTTCCATATAATCACATGAGGAAATGAACAATTCCGGTCAAATTAGCCAGGTGTGGGGAGAACAAACGGCTTCTCTTGCAGAGGTACTGGTAGGATATTAAGTTGGAAATATGGGTCAGAAGCTAAGGAAAGAAAAACCCCAAATCTATTTTTCTGCCCAAATTTGTCTCTAATTCAGATACCAGTTGATTGAAACCATTAAACATATTGTCAAAAAATTAACCATTTTATTCACATTCTTGCTAGAAATTGAAAAGTTACACTAGGATATTCTTTACAGTTTCATCTTAAAACTCCTATGGCACCAGATGAGCCAAACCATCTCCTCAGATCTCTAAGACATATTTGAAGTAGGCTAGAATGCTCAAGACCTGAATAGACTGTGTTCATGAACTCAGATTGCAGTGGTTGAAGAGACAATGCATCAGCAAACGCCATATTTGCTCCCGTATTTGTTTGGTCCTCAGACCATAGATAATGGGGTTTAAAGCAGGTGGGATGACCACATATAAGTCAGCTAGCAGCACTTGGGTGTGCAAAGGCACTATGTCCTGCCCTAGCCAGGCCACATAGATGGATGCCATCCCAGGTAGGTAGTACAGAGCCATAACCACCACGTGGGAGCCACACGTGCTTAATGCTTTCACCTGAGCATTCTTTGAGGAGAGATTGAAGACTGCCTGGAGAATCAGGGTATAAGAAGCAGCAATGAAGGCCACATCGGAGCCCACGATAATGGAAGAACCAATTAGACTATAAAGGCTACTGGACGTGGTGTCTGTGCATGCTAACTTGGCCACAGCCATGTGCTCACAGTAGGAATGGAGAACCATGTTGGAGCCACAGAAAGGTAGATGACTCACCATATAACTTAATGGAGTCATGAATATGACAGCTCTGATGGTGATGGTCATACTCATTCCCAGCATCACTTGAGGCGTGAGAATACTCTTGTAGTGTAGAGGCTTACAGATGGCTACATAGCGGTCAAAAGCCATGACCAGCAGCAGCCCTGTCTCTATAGCTGTGGTTACGTGGATAAAATACATCTGAGTGAAACAATCATTGAAGCTGATGGAGCTGCCTCCTGAGGAGAAGATGCTCACCATCTTGGGCACCACAGAGGATGCCATAACAATGTCCACAGCAGCCAGAACACAGAGGAAGCAGAACATGGGCTCTTGTAGAGTGGAATCCATCCAGATTATGGTCAAGATGAGGGTGTTTCCTAACAGGGCTATGATATACATGGCACTCATCGAGATAGCCAGCCAAAGATGTGAAGATTGCAAACCTGGGATTCCCACAAGGAAGAAGGTGGCAGGGGTTTCCGTTGTGTGGTTGTAGGTTGTCCCCAGCATCACAGATGAGACTGTTTTCCTGTTAATGCATAAAATGATATAAGAAAAGGATGCAGTACTCTGAGATTTACTCCCAGCTGTGGTGTTAAGAAAGCCTGGTGGTATTGTCAGCTCAGAACTAGAAAACTTACATCTGACAAAGTTATCTTGCCCCATCTCCCATCCACCTCATTATTCTTTGCCTCATTATTCATCATTCAAAGATTGACTGATGAGTTACCTCCTTTGGAAGTCTCTTCAGCTCTGCTTCCTCCGCCATTCCATGTCAAAGCTAAATTATGTACCTTCTGAGCTTTCATGGAATCTCACAGGGACCTCTGAGGGACCTAAATTAACAATTCCAATGCTCTACTCTTGACTTTATTGTATTCAATCATATGTGCCTTGGTCATGGACTTATACCAAGTTTGTGATACATGGCTGTGGTGTGCAAGTCCATTAAAAGAAGATATGTCTACTCGTTATAGCAAACAGATGAATGAATGAGAAATCAGAAGAGTTTTTTATCTTTGTGTGTTCAGTTCCTAATATTTAATATTTTTGAATGAAACAATGAACTTCCTGATATTGAACATGTCATATTTTGTATCCCCAGTATAGTGCTATACAAAAGATGAATGAAACATCCTTCTGGTTAAAAAAATGAATTGGTGAATTCATGAAAATCATCAAGATCATTAGAAAACAACATAATTTTTCATAGGAGATAATAAACTGTCTGGAAATATTTATAATCCTTACCTTTTCTTTACTTCAGCCTGGATTTCCTCGTTGAGCTAGGTTCATTTAATAGATTAAATAACTACAAATAAAACTTTAGGGCTCCTTTATAGATGACCCCACAATAGGTTTTTATGATTCTTCAATATAAATAACTTCGTGATTTATAAGCTACAAAGACATTCCAAATTACAATAAAGCTTTATTATTTAGAATTTTGGGGATATGATTGCAAACCATGGTCTTTATTGAACCAGACAAACCACCACTAACAACAACAAAGCCTAAACGTAAGAGATGCCTTATAATGGAACAGACTGAATAAAGTAATAAGCTCTGCTTCATGGTCAGATTAAAAGAACCTTGAGGTGCCCTGGCTGATTTGACTTGGTAGATCGAGTGTTGGCCTGCAGTCTGAGGTGTTCCAGGTTTGATTTCGATCAGGCGCACATGCTCAGGTTGTGGGCTCAATCCCCAGTGTAGGAGGCAGCCAGTCAATGATTCTCTCTCATCATTGATGTTTCTATCTCTCCTCCCTTCTTTTCTGAAATTAATAAACATATATTTAAGTAAACAAAACAAAAGCAAAAAACCTTGATGTGTATAGTCACTGAAATAGACGTCTTCAGTGATAGATCATGAGAAGACAAAGGAAAGCTTTTTGATATAGAATGGAAGTGAAGAACTATCAGGTTATCAGAAATTATTCAGGTTATCCTTAAGACTGCTGTGTGTTTTCTGGATGCCACACACTCAGAATTGAGCATCACTGCTTAGATGGGCTGGAAAAGAGCCTGAGGAACCTTCTACCCACCCCCGACCCCCCACATCTGCCTCTGAGCCAGGATCTCCAGGATCTTCCTCTCCTGGATGGCTGCCCTGTATAAATCTACCTTTCTTCTTCTGTGCACTGCTCATCCCTCCTCTCTGCATTCTGGAAAATTCTAGCTGGTCATATTTTTCATTCCTTTGAGGCTTTTATTTTCCTCATTTTTCTTCTGAATTAATTCTGCTAAGAGGTTCATATATTTTATTAGTCTTTTTAAATGATAGGACATTTGGTTTGTTGATCATATTTTTTTTATTTCACTCTTCAATCTATTGTTACTGAGAAGTTTCTTCTAAGATCAACAATGATCTCCATCCATGCCCAGTTGCCAATCTAATGATTTCATTTTTTAAATTTTACCTGATCTATCCAAAACATTTCCCATTACTGCCTACTCCTTCAATTTTTTTTATTTTACATGCTGTAAAATGCACAAATCTCAGGTATGCAGCTTTATAATGTTTTATAAAGTGAACACACATAACCACTACCCAGAGCAAGATACAGACACAGT